CTGAGGACCAGGACACATGTCCACACCAGACTCCCAGCACAGTGCCCTACACAGCGGCACTTGCAACAAGTCTGTGGAACAAATGAGTTCATCCGCAAGCAGCTATAAGGACACAACACTTCCTTCCAGCTTCTTCTGGGTCACCACACTGTCATTTCTTTGTTTTAGATAAGCTTTACACTTGATAAGTGTTTAAGAAATGTTTGGTGAATATGTGAATAAAACACAACCACATACTAATGTCAGAATAACTGAAAGCAACAACAAAACATGAACTGTTTGAACAAGGACAGGTGTGGGTTGCTATAGAACTCTCTAATGGGTGAAACCTACAAAGCAAAAATCCTAGAACTGTGAAGGATTTCTATGTCACTGACTATTTAGAAAATAGGTATAGATTTTATTAGAAAAAGTTTTAAGTATTTCCTTAAAGTTGTGCATAATGTCCTTCTACAGGAAAGTGGCCTTCCATGTGTAAGGATAAAACTCTGGTAAACTGTTGGCCTTGTACTTAATTTGGTTGGTATTTATTATAATTTATAATTTGTAAACATTTTCACCTGGTAATTCCACTTCTAAGAATTTATCCTAAACTCTGTTCTCAAACACAAAGATGTTTCCTTCTCCCATAAATGCAGTTAATGATAATGTACTAAGTAACCCATAAGATACCTGCTCTTTTATGTATTCTAGCTCCACTGGTCTACCTACCATAAAGCACTTGCTGCTTTTTCAGAATTACAAAGCTTAGTGATTTAAGAGATCCAGTACGACTCTTAATATGTTTCAGCAGCAATTAGAGCTCTCAGCTCCCAGTGCTTCATTCTCTTTGAGGTAAATTGGCCACACTAGGAGCGTTCCAGGAAGGAGAGAAAAATAAACATTATGCAGAGGAATCATAAAGATTGTTTTTATAATCAATTTGAACCTGAACTCACAAATTTAAGCAACAGCCAGGAGTGTGTTCTGGCTTGTTCAGGGAGGGAAGAATTTCAGATGCCTATGACAAAGTCTGATTTTCTCCAACCCTGCATAGGCAGACTTGTTTCTGCAAGTTTCCTAGGTCCATTCCATCCTCTAAAGGACACCCTACCTCCAGTGCTGAGGAGCCAGCGCTTCCCCTTACATACACACTTAAAGCATCACACAGCAAACCAACAAAAGCCTGTCTGCCATCATGCACTTTGCTCCAGAGGTTTCCACTCACCTCTGTGACTACATAGCATTTGGAAACAGATAAGCTAAAAATAAAAAGTCAATAGCTGACAGCAAATCAATAAATGCACATTGAATAAGCCGCAGAGAAATGTGTAAGAAGAAAAGTCAACACAAGTCAAGAATTATCTGCCAAAGATAAAATTGCCTCTTCTTTTTCCCAGGTGATTAAACAGGTTTCTGAAAATTTATTAATAATAACTAGAAAAAAGTGATAAAAAATTATAAAGAAGTTACATGGCTACTAAATGTGCCTTTTAGCCATCTTCCTTTGGTAATAATGTCCCAACATGTATGCAGAATTAAAATGAAGATCAGAGGTCAAGTTGGAACTCGCATGCTTCATACCACTTTGTCCGATTGGCCAAGGGGGTAGGGCATGAGGATAACGGCCCTGCAGGGGGCCTGGGCACAAGTGGTGGCCATGTCCAGACGAGACTCTGTATAAACCGGGTCTACACTTTGACTCAATCATGTGTGAGGAGCATAAAGCTGATTTTTTAAAAAGTAAACTTAACTTTGGATGGAAGCAACCCATATGTTCACGAACAGATGAGTGAAGAAACCAAATGTGATGTATACATAAAATAGAATAGTATTCTGCCATAAAAAGGAAGGAAATTCTGACACATGAACCTTGAGGACATGATGCCAGTGAACTAAGCCAGTCGCAAAGGGACAAACTGTAGGATTCCAGTTATATGAGGTCCCTAAAACAGTCACATTCATAGAAACAGAAAGTAGAATGGTGATTGCCAGGGGCTGGGGGGGAGGGAAATAGGGAGTTAATGCTTAATGGGTTTTATCATTAGTACCAAATGGGTACTGAAAGTACTAACTTTCAGTTGGGGAAGATGAAAACGTTCTGGAGATGGACAGTGGTGATGGTAGCACAGCAGTGTGAATGTACTTAATGCCTCTGAACTGTATACTTAAACATGGTTAAAGCAGCACATTTTATATTATGCGTATTTTATCGCAATAATACATACAAAAAAAAAGAGAGAGAGAGAGAGAGAGAGAGAGAACTCACCTTTGAAGTTGCCAATATACAGGCCAGGCAGGATCTAGGGGAGAGACACAGACCAGGCATGAGCGTTACAGACCTGACGCTGACAGTGCTTGGCACAGGGCTGGGGCCTCAGCATGGCCGGAGTACAGCCCAGGCTGGTCGCCTGCCACACCCATTTCCCAGCACCGCCCCAGATGGACAGCATGCACAACCAGACACCCTTGTCTCCAGGACTCTGACCTGCCCATGGCGAGAAGGACGCCTGCTTAACAGCCCATGAATGGCAGCGTGTTGGTGCCCATCAAGTCACAAAACTTTAAAGACCTGGCTGTCCCACGTCCTCATGAATCCCGTGTGCCCTTCCTCACTCAGGCCCCGTGAGTGCTCTTTGGCATCCTGAGTCCAGCATCCCCTCCACCCTTCCTTCCTGCCTTTCCCCCAGACTCCTCCTTCTCTCACTGCACCCCACACACCCCTCCACATCCGGGACTTCTCTCACAGCTCTAGCAAACCCACTTTCTGTCCTCTGAGGCCTTTGCACATGATGTTCCCACTATTAGGCAGCTCTGACTCATGCCCAAAGGAGGCCTGTCCTGAACCCTGAGTCTGGGATAGGCCCCTGCTTCAGTGCCCAGTCTGCTGTGCTCCCCTTGGAGTGATGCTGTCACGGGGCATTACTAGGTGACGGTCTGTCCCTTCTGCTAAACTGGAAAACTCTTTGGGCATCAAACACATCATGCCACTCTGCCACATACCCAGCTCCTGGCCCCGGGTTTGGCCCATGATTATCATGCAATAAAGAGTTGCTAAATGAATGAATGAACTATCTAAATGCACAAGTAATTAAGAACATATATTTGCTCCCAAATGTCTACTTCTCCTAAGGCAATGGTTCTCAAATCAGACTATTCATCAAAATCACCAAAATCTGTTAAAAATTCAACATTTCTGGACACCTCCCCCAGCACCAGCCCCTCCCCCCATATAGAATGATTCAGTAGATCTGAGATGAGAACTGGGGACTATATTTTTCACAAGCACCCCTGCTTTGCAAACTACGGAATGAGAAACTAATGCTTTCTGTTGCCAATACTTTGTATGGAAACTCTGAAGTCCCAAACTGCTTGGGAAGCTACACCACCCAATATGGTTTCCAAATGCATTCCACATACCAGCCTTGGTGACGCTTCAATGCAGACCCCCAGTGCCCAGGCAATGTCCTTATGTCAGGCCCACCGCCGGTGTCCCCTCCCAGCTCCACTGCTTCACGCTCCCATTCCCACTAAGAAGTCTGAAGCAGTGTGTAGTCACGTTCTCCAAGTGCATGGATTTCTTTAAGCATCTTTTGCTACAAACTGATGGCATGTATACCAGTCACTGTAGGGGAAATCCACTTTGGCACCGCCAGCGGAGCCTGCAGGGTTAGCCGCTGTGCTGGCGGGAGGCCAAGTGAGGTGCCACAGCATACAATGACAAAACCAGGGCACGTGTGAAAGTGAGAAGAGATGCTGTTAATAATTACTCCATGTAAAGGAAACATTCAGTCTCTTCCTTCCTATGTAGGAAAACAAAAAACAAAAAACAGTTCTTCCCCACTGTGAGTTTCTTCCCTGTGAGTCTCCCTTACTGCCACACAGAACACTTCACTTCTGGTCACCAAATGTGTGGGGATTTCCCTCACATTAAGCAATTCTCTGATACCAAATGGGTGTCCCACAATTTAACTCGATTCTGACACTATCTACCGGGAGATTGTGTCAGGTCCCACAAGACTGCCCCTCTACTCACACACACTTCAGATGGCAGGTCAAGCTCAGGTTGTCACCTGCACTTCTGACCAAACAGCCATAGATGGGAAGTTCCAAGGACCTCCCTCTGGGGATTCGATTAATTTGCTAGAAAAGCTCGCAGAACGCAGGGAAAGGCTTACTTACATTTACCAGTTTATCAAAGGATATGATAAAGGATACAGATGAACAGTCAGATAAAGAGATACATAGGTCTGGGAGAGTACTGAGCACAGAAACTTTTGTCCCTGTGGAGTTGGAGTGTGTCACCCTCCCAGTGTGGATGTGGTGACCAACCTGGAAGCTCTCCGAGCCTCCTACTATGGGGATTTCATGGAGGCTTCCTCACGTAGGCATGATCAAGTATCAACGCCACTTCCAGCCCCTCCCTTCTCTGGAGCATGGGGAGGTACAGCTGAACATTCCAAGGCTCTAATCATGGCTTGGTCTTTCTGCTGACCAGGCCCCATCCAGGTCCCATCCAGGAGCCCACCCAGTCACCCCATTAGGAGAAAAGATGCTGCTGCTGTTCTTATCACTTAGGAATTTACAAGGGTTTAGGAGCCCTGTGTCAGGGATGGGGTCAAAGACAAATATTAGAACAAGAGGTGCTCCTAGTGCTCCTGTCACTTGGAAAATTATAAGGGTTTCAGGAGCCCTGTGCCAGAAGATGGGGACAGATACATATACCAGGAAGGGGGGGGGTGCCAAAAAAGGTATACAAGTGGACACTTTGGTCAACGTTGCTCAAGCAGTAGTTCTCCATAATCAGAAGTGTCTGGATGCTGACGGTAACCACTTTGAGCACCTCTTGTAATTGCAGAAGTCAAAGGTGACTTGTATTCGTCTTTTGTTATGGGTGTATACTGAGTACTACAATTTTAATACAGTTTTTTCCTTTCTTAAAATGTGTATACATTTTTTGGCACCATCTGTGTACACACACACACACACACACACACACAGGTGAGGTCTGATAATTAAGTTCGCGAACTCATCCTAGAAAAAGTGCTACATACCTCATAGCTGAATATTGCTACGGTCACCTTCAAACTACTCCCCTTGGAAAGCTATGCACCAACACCAGTGCCTAGTCTACCCTTCAAAGCAATTTTAGAACTCTTTTTCTGGAATGGCCATCAGAGCTGTCATCATATTACCCTTGATGTCATCAAAATGTCTTCTTTTCAACATTTCCTTTATCTTTGGGAAAAGGAAGAAGTCATTGGGGGCCAGATCAGGTGAGTAGGGAGGGTCTTTCAAAACAGTTACTTATTCACTGGCTAAAACCTTCCTCACAGACAGTGCCATGTGTGCTGGTGCATTGTCGTGATGCAAGAACCATGAATTGTTGGCGAAAAGTTCAGGTCGTTTTCGTCTAATTTTTTTCCTGCAGCCTTTGCAGCACTTCCAAATAGTAAACTTGCTTAACTGTTTATTCAGTTCATACGAACCCTACCCCACTTTGGAGTCTTGGTGAGAAGCAGAGCTCAGCTCTTACAACAGAAGTTGCAGATGCCAAATATCCACTCACTTCTCCCTCTGATGCTAGAGCATGGACATGTGCTTGAAGTGCAGCCTGTCTCCACAGCTGCTCCAGGTTGGACTCCTGGAGCAGCCTCGCTCCCAGCAGGGCATTGGGGCTGCTGGCACACCCCACCCTCTGGTGGCAGCAGCAGCCTCTGGGGGCAGCCCTCAAAATGCTCTCACCAAGCCAGTTCGAGAATCTACTCCTGGCAGGGTAGCCTGAATCTGGTTCACCAGCCTTGCGGTCCATGTGAACAGTTCTACCTAAAGCAGCCACATATGAGCTGCACAGACCATCAAGCAAGTCACAGACTAGCAAAGTCCTGGTCACTGGGAAAGCAGCTGCCCCACAGGCTCTCCAAGAACCGGACATCACTCCAGCAGGAGCAGCCTGCCTCCTCGGGACTCCTCTCCAGCTTCAGTTAGCACTTCCTTCTTCTTCTCAGGAGTTCCCCAATTCATTTGCTCTGCTTTGAACTTAAGCGCAGTTCCTATGCTCAGCTTCTTAGGCCCTCCCCTTATATTCACTGCAACAGCCTCCTAAAGATCTCCCTACCTCTGGACTTGTCCCTCCAAAGAACTGCTCAACCTGCCTCCAAGGTGCAAAGTTGATCATATGATATCTCAAATTAAAGTCTTCTTAGGGCTCCAAGTAGGTATCAGCATGACACCCAAATTCAACACCTCAGCAAGAAAGACCTTCAAGGACCGAGGTTGCTATTATGCCTTCAGCCTCTGCTCCATGCCTAGTGCCTTCCCTAATCTCCCCCACATCCAAGGAGGTGAAGACACAGAGAAACAGGCCAGGCCCTCCAGTTCCAGCATCTAACTTTTATGGGAAATAGCCCAATTTTCAAATCCTGTCAACTACATTTAAAAAAAAACAAAAACTTAAGGATTGTGATAGATAAATAAAACACATCTGCAGGCTAACTATGGCCCACGGACATCTAATATATGACCTCTAACTACTGTCTGCATCATATTTGCAAATATGTTTTCTCTAAACTCAAATGGTTTTCCCTTGATTGGTAGGTACTCAAGTAAATGTTTTGTTTTGTTTTCAATAAACGAATGAATAAATAAACAATGTGAACAGAGTGGGAGGAGGCAAAGCAAGAAAAGGATATGAAAAACAATGGCGAGTGAAGTCTGTGAGATCAAACTTTGTCCCTTTCTGCCCAGGCCGGGATTCCGTATGGAATCAGTGACACCAGGCCAATGGCACTAGGGCTGGTGTTGGAGACCAGCACCCTGAAGGGGATGCCAGGGCAGAGTGCTGGCAAAGGCAGAGGTATGAACTTACTAAAATCAAGAAGCCCGCTTACTAAAAATCATTTAAGATGTATATTTTGCGTGCATTTAAAATATTTTTAAGTAATATAAAGAGAGGATAGAGTTGTGTCAGTAAATTTTTAACTCTAGTTTCCAGACCAGAAGAGTAAGCTAAAGTTTCAGGGGCTGGAAAGCAAACTGTTCAATCTCAGTTTCTGCAGTTTCTTCCATATAAAATTACAAAACAAGATCAAGGAAGGCTGGAGGGTTGGCCACTGGCAGGAAGAGAAATTATGTTTTGGTTTTCAAGGAGAATAAAAAGCTCATGAATGTTTAAACCTGTACACCAATCAGCTTCCTAATTCAAACTTAATACTCAAAAAATTTGACCCCACTTCCCCAATATTATTGTTGCTAATAATCCCTAAATACAAAGAAAGAGAAAGCAAAATGAAACAAAATAATT